TCCTTTTGGTGTGCGCTTCTCCGCCGTTGTGCCGTGCGTTTGCGCATGTCATTTATTATGCGCGTGCGTGCTGGGCATGTTTTTCCGGGGCGTTGGGCGGCCACCATCTGTCTATGGCGGTTTGTGTGAGTGAGCACGTGCGGATGAGGGTCAGGGCGTATGGAATGAAGGAATGGCTTGAGGAAAGGGGAATTTGATTTGGAGGGTACTTGGACCAGATTCATTTGGCTGCGGTGGACACATGCACGACGGATGTGTTTCCGCATAATTGGGGGAGGATGCGACAGGATTTTCCGAAGTGGCCCGTCAATGCAATTCGGGTTTCATAGCACTGAGGCACAGTGGTCTTCCTGCAATGGCTGGTGACGGCCTCTAGTGGACCGGTGTATTTATGCTGCTGCTGCTGCTCGAGGAGGTGTAGAAGTGCGATTTGAGGTGAGCGGCGGAAGGGCCACACATCCCGCAGTGACGGTCGTCGTTGGCCCACCGGGTGCCTCTGAAGGTTTTGTTGGATGCAACGTCCTTATGCCCGTCTCTGGATGGCGGCATCCCTGATGCAGCCAACGAACGGGGCTGGGAGCGACGGTGAGACGCAAGCACGTGTGGATGTTCGGCGCGGCCGGCGCACCGCACGCTGAAAGCATGGCACGGTGAGGACCGGACCTAGAAAAGGGACACCGCGTGGGACGTCAATCTTCGCTGCAGCGACCGCCACCGAATTTGGATTTGCTCGCACCTCCTGCGGTCCCTCTTCCTCCCATCACTTCTGTGCCGAGGACTGTGCCGCGGGATGCAGCAGCGCGATGTTTGGCCGCAGGAACATGGCCCGAACAAATGATTTGTGGGAGGGGGATGTGCACTGCGACGAGAAGGAAAAAAATTTTGCGAGACGACCACCACGACAAGACCGGAGTGAAGTTGTGTTTTTTTTAATTGCGCGAGGGCGGCCTGCCACCTGGTCGGTTAGGAGGATTATTTTTTCTTGCGTCTTTGCGCCTTTCTTTTTATTACGCCGCGTTTTTTTTGCGGACCTGCGAAGGGAGATTTGCAAGAAATTTCTGCGAGGCGTCCGTGCCGTCGTCGGAAAAGCGGATTCCCCCTTGAAAAACGCCACTTTTTAAAATTGTTTTGGGCGCGGAGTTATTGTCGATTCAACGCGACTTTGTTTTGCGGATTTGATGCGTGTGTTTCCGAGCGGTTTGATCAGTGCTCCCAGCCCACTCGGATGTGGTGTGCGCGTCGACATGAAAGTGCCTGCCAGCCGTTTTATTGCCTCCCCCGCTGTGGCTGCCGCCGCTGCCTTCCTCTCTTCCTGAGGTCCTGCGGCCTCTTGACAAGATGTTTTGGAGAAGGAGTTGCCGCTCTTATCGTCCATGATATTTTGATTCTGGTGTCGCGGTCAGGAGACATTGAACGAGAGGGTTTGCTGCCCTCTTGTTTTATTTATCTTCTCTGCCTGACGTCCAGTTCTACACAAACGTGCTCCTCGGCACCTCAGTTGGTGCTGGCGGTTTGCTCACAGTTGTCACTGGCAATCGCATGCGCCATCTTTTCTCTGCTCCCTTTCAGTGTCGCATTTTTTTATTGATTGACGGACGCCATTCTGTCCGGCGTGCCACCTTGATTGGATTGTGTTGGACTGCTCGCCAACGCCATCGGAGAAAGCAGGCCGACTTTTTCACGTATTTGATTCCGTCTTGCGCGCAGGTATTTTTTTTACTTGTTCTGTTGGGCACTCAAACAGCGAGGGATTTGGAACTATGCGTGCGTGGAATTTTTCCTGCCATGTGG